CAAAACTATTCAAAGTCATTTTCAAGATGGCCCCACCCTCAGTTCTTCCCCGTGAGATGTCCCCCCTTCCTTCCCAGGTAATGGGGGGGTTGATTAAACACGTTCACTGACTTACCAGTCAGGACTCCTTACTGGGCGTCTCTACTAGCTGCTCTGTGAGCACTGTCCCTCCTGTTTGCTGTAAGCTGCAGTCTTCCCTAGTGGACAGAGCACTGGGCTGGGTCTCTGGACACCTGGGTTCTGTTCCCGGCTTGGCTGTAGCTGACCGTGGACAAGTCACTTCACTGCCCTGTGCATTGGTTTCCCCTCTCTGTAAAATAGGGGGAATGATAATGAGCCCCTTTATAAAGCCCTTTGATGAAGAGGACAATGTGAGAGCCAGGTCTTGTTAAATCACAATGTTGGCTCTTTTGCGGCCACAAACTAAAACTTAGCGCAGGTAAGATGGGAATCCCCCTGGGGGTTTCAGTCTTTGCAGTCCAGGAGGAGATGACAACACTGGTTGTTGTGGTCCTCATTCGCTTTTGGCTGGAGGCCTGATTCTTCCCTCCTTTGAGCTGGTTTTGCAGCAGCGGAACTCCCCTGGCATCAGTGGAGTAACCCGGTATAAGTGAGTTCGGAATCAGGCCTCTGGTGTTTACTCTGGCAAATTCCCATTGAGTTCAATAGGATTTTGCCTGGGAAACACTCAGTTTAAAAGGCTCTCACAGCTTGGGCCTGTGCAAACAAGAAACACATCTTCAATGACACCAGCTACAAGGAAATGCCAAGGGCTTTATCAGTCCAGCTGCTCCAGCAGATGCTAATGATCAGCAGCTGGGCTCATGGAGAAATGACTCCCATGGTATCGGCAAAGTGAACTCTATTTAAGGGAGGTTGATACTGTCATCTGAAGAATCCAGCATTGGCCGTTGTCTGAAGGAGGACATCAGATACCATGGACTAGCAGTCTGTTCGGAAGTGAAGATGGCTGTAGAAGGGTGGGGTGGACAAACACTCGGTGGAAGCTCCTGATATTTACCTAACCACCACTGGAGCTTCATGCAGTGTAGCTGTGGCCATGTGAGTCCCAAGATATTAGCGAGACAAGGTGGGGGAGGTAATCTCTTTTCTTGGACCAGCTTCTGTGGGTGAGCGCTCCACCCTGCATTGTGCAGTGATGCTCAGAGCACCTTTTCCAGCTCTGAAGAAGAGCTCTGGATGGCTCGAAAGTGTGTCTCTCACCCACAGAAGTTGATCCAATAAAATATATTCCCTCCCCCACTGGAGCTGTATGTCTGTCTGGTGGGGAGCTACACATCAGAATGCCCTTGAAGTATAGCTCCATGCTCACCCCAACAGTTTAAAGCATCCAGCAGTTGCAGGATTCAAGGAGGCTTGGTTCAGGGAGTTGAAAAATCAGAAGACTGCAAGGTGACCCTGCCTTTTGCCCAAGCCATGGCAGGAAGTCCTCTGAGGTCTTTAGAACTACTCTGTTCTTCTACTGAATGGGCCACACATGCTAGGCAATGGTCAGATCAGAGGTGGTGCCTCGGGCCGTAGTATTTTTTTATTCAGAGAAGCAGCCCGTGGGACAACAGACATTCCAGTGCAGCAGAAGTTGCAGCAAGGGGGTTGAAATAGCAAATTTCCTTGCCTGGCCACTACAATAAATCCACTTCCAAGAACTCTTGAGTTAGTGTTTAAGAGCATGGGACCTTCATCGTTGTGACTCTGCTGCCTCTCGTGTCTATTTGGAGCTCTTGCTATGGACCTCAGATCTTCTCTCCTCTAAGAGCACTGGCTCCTACCACTGTGAGCTAAAGGAGACTCTCCACTTAGCTTTTAGCAGTATGGGGCCAGGGACACACAACTGAGCCATTCTGAATCAGTCCAGCAGCAGACAATGGTATGTATTAGCCAGTTCACTGCAATCCACTATTACAAAGAGACAGAGGTGAGATCCCTTCATATTATAAACGACTCTCATTTGTTTTGGAGTCCCGTGTAAGTGTTGCCCAGCTGTGGCTCAGAGTAGGCAGTGTCGCCCACAGGCTATATGAGAGCACTTTATAATCCTAGAAAGGGACATACTCGTGTGTGCTTTATAAATAAATAGAAGCAGAGCACATTGTTCAGCATACCAGTTAATGGGCTGTTGTCATCTGAGTGATGGGGAAGCTGAATTTTCCAGCCAGGGAGACTCTGATATTGATGTACATTTGTGTGTCTGCCCTGGAGACCCATCACTGGAATCTGGTTTCAGTAAATTAAATCTGTTACTAATACTGATTAATAATCCCAATTCACTATCAGCACCCATGTTTGTCTATTTCATCCACTGGCTGTGTCCTGCCGTAACCCTAGGTTGCAAGACCTCTCCAAGCAGGGACTGTCTTTTTACTACATTTGTACAGCATCGAGCACAATGGACCCTGATCCTCAGCTGGGTGCTATTGTGATACAGATAGGCATGGAGGGAAATCCCACTCTTTATTATCTAAGTGATTTAGGAGCACATGTCAATAGACCAACAAGCTTCCAAAGGGCTCAGCCAAGGTATTACAGGTGGGACTGGTACCACCTCCTGCCCTTAAGGTTGTGCAACATTTCCCATGATCAGACCCTGTTATTAGCTGGTTATAACGTTACCAGACTTTAATCATTTGGGCTGAAATTCTCCAGGCTGGGGAGTCTGCCTCTGGCTGCATTTTCTTTTGGAAAATTTCAGCCAAAGCACTTCAGCCATTTCCAAGGGTGAGATTAGAGAAAAATACATCGTTCTGTAATATGACTGATTGGTTCCCATCCTGAGTGCTGCATGAGGCACAGGTGGGGTCAGGGCCAGCGCTTCCATTTAGGCGACCTACGTGGTCGCTTAGGGCACCAGGATTTGGGGGGCAGCATTTTGCTGCCCTTGGCGGCAATTCAGCGGCGGGGGTCCTTCCACGCTCCGGGTCTTCGGCGACAATTCTGTGGCTGGTCCTTCACTCGCTCCGGGACCCGCCGCCGAAGTGCCCCGAAGACCGGGAGCAAGGAAGGACCCCCACCACAGAATTTCCGACTATGACTGGGAGCGCGGAAGGACCCCCGCCTAGGGCGCCAAAAACCCTGGTGCTGCTCCTGGGTGGAGTGGAAAAACCAGTGTGTGATCATTTAATTGAAGATTGTGTCGTAATGCATGTGTAACACCCACAGAGCCCGGTTGTCAGCAGGTGAGATCGAACCTGGGGACTCCTGGAGCTTAGTGCATGAGCCTCTACTGCATGAGCTAAAAGCCAACTGGCTCTTAGCGAAGGCTGTAGAGCAGACTCATTCATCTTTCTCTCTAAGTGGTCTGGGTGCCACTAGATGGGACAGAACACCACCCCCAGGAGGTGTGTGGGTTACACATATAGAGAACTGGGCTGAATCAAGATTACGCAGGGAACCTTAATTCTGGCATTTCCTAGCTTTTTTGAGTGCTTGACTTTACAGCTTTAATGTTCTTTTACCATAGTTTTGATGGGTCTAATATAGATAACGATCATGCTGAAAAGGAGGAGCTTTGGGGAGGAACCAGCTCCACGCCCCGAACATTACGCTACACTTTGTTTTAAAGGTGAAGTTACATTTAACGCCACCTTGCAAAGGGTTGGATTTTTCCAGCCTCTTGGATGCAGAATTGCCATTAAAGTCCATGGGACCCCCATATACTGGACTTGGGTCTGAAATCTGATGCCTGTTCATTGCACATGCATGTTCAACCCCCCCCTGTAATTGCACGTTCTCTTGTTCTTTGTCTAGATGCTCTACTCTTGTGTACGTGTGGATTAGGCAAGTACACAAGTAGGCCCAGGGAACTTGCGAGTGCTGAGCGTGGCGCGAGCAAGAGTTCGTAGGATCAGTCCTGTTTGACTGGCAGGGGGAGTGTTTTGTTCTTTAACATCCTGCTAAATCTCAGGCCAGATCCCAGGTGGTGCATGTCTGCCAAGCCCCATGACTTCACTGGAGTTATGCTGCTGGCTTACACCAATTGAGCACCTGTCCCACTACAACCACCATACTGGACATGCTTCTGCTGACGTCACGGGGTTTTTTACTGCCAATGTCAACGGCAGCGGGATTGGGGCCATTGGGTGGGATTGGCAGGTCTGTCGGCGGGATGGCGGACCACGATCTGCTCTCATGTGCAGCTGGTGTAAACCTGGAGGCACTCCAGTGACTTTAGTGCAGTAACTCTAGGATGGGTGGGCTGCGATAGCAGAATGCTGGAATTAAGTTGACAGCTCTAATAGAAGGGAGAATAATGTGATAATGGTGCTGACATGCTGGTATGTAATTCAGACTCTGAGCCACATTCAGCTCTTTTCTACCAGTGTAAATCCAGAGGCGTGATTCTGAAGTCCGTGGAGGTGCTCTGGATTTGCACCACATAGGTGGGCCAAATTCTGTTCACTTACACCCTGATAAAGACTCAATCTGCAATAGGCTCAGGGCCGGCAGAACCTCGGTGACATCAATGGAGCTTTATGCACGTACTGCGATCTTATTCCAGCATTAGGCCCTAAATCACTGTCCACCTTTGTAAATCTGGAGTGACTCCGGATTCACATTGGTTTTTAACTGCCGGCTCACACCCCTAGTTTAAATAACCAAATAAATAGCCAGACCTGTCCAAGAGCTGCAGACATCACCAAATTCCAATCATTGCTTTCAATGAAATACTTCCACTTCTCCAGCATTCCTCCTTTACTCTGAATTTTGAAGAGAGAGTGAGTCCCACAGGCCAGACAGCCGAGGCCCCAATGCCATTCTTGGTATCTTTCTCTCTCCAGGAATTGTAGGTGACTCCACTTCCTTTTTGAATGTAGCTTATAAGGACTTGTGTGGAACTTGTTTATCAAAGTGTAGCATAAAAGGAACAGATTCACTAAGGGGGTGTTGCCTCCCAAATACTCTTGCATACATTTTTCTTATAATAATTAACTGTGCTTGGTTCTACCATGAGTCCGAGGTCAGTATAATGAAATAAAACACCTTATATGGCCATATGGCTAACACACCATCAGTTAGCCTTTTTAGGGGCTCTGTTTAAGGAGGATCCGCCTCTGAGGTTTCATAGTCTGGCTGGTATTTATACCAAAGGCACATCAGAACGCAGTCCCAGAGGAAAGGAACTCTTGTGTACTTGGTGAGTACTGCAAAAGATCTATTCTCTCTTTGCTATCACAAGCCTTGCTAAGGTTCAGAAGGTCCATCTAGGGGCGAGATGGGAATCCTACAAGAATAACGTTGTTTTAATCGTGTTGCTGTTAAGTCACAGGCTCCAACTGCACCTGCAAACTGCTCCCAGCATGTGCCGTTTGGGGGGACTAGTGAGGAGGCTGTATCAGCAAAAGGGGAAGCAGCTGCATGGTCTCTTTCTTTGATCCTTTTAAATATGGCATCATGTAGAGAGAGAAACTCTGGGACGCAGCATAATCTTAGTGTCTGTAGCTTTCAAGCAGAAAAGACTTTGACTGTTGCCATTTTCCTAGAATGCCTGGAGAAGCCAGGCTGCATCTACGTTTTGGGCTGCTGTGATTTGAACGCTCATGTTGTGACAGCTCTGGTTTTGCAATAGGAAAGCTAACACAGCAGCAAAGTGGGCTGCTGTTAGGGCGCATTGTTTACAGCGTGTGTGCATGGCGCTTACAAACAGATGAAAAGACAGGCTGCAGAGCCCTGTCCTGCAAGGTGCTGAGCCCCCTGGATGACACAGGCTTGTGTGACACAGGTGTGGGCCGGAGGGCAACACACACAAATCAGAACTTGGTGGGTGGGGAAGAGCGGGGCACTCTCAGTTGTGGGGAAGAAGGGTTATTAATCTTATACATAGAACAGATCATTTGAGTTGATCAGTTTCGCCTGTTTCTTATTGGTAGGGTGACCAGATGTCCCGATTTTATGGGGACAGTCCCGATTTTTGGGTCTTTTTCTTATATAGGTTTCTATTACCCCCA